TTTATAGAGTATGACAATAATAGCAACTACTTGGTAGGGGTATGGTAAGGACTGAATGGGAAAATCAATGTAAAGCACTCTGCAACCGAGGAGGAGCTCACAGGTGGTAAAGGCACAAATGTTGGCTGCTCTAACAGCAACTATTACTGTTGTCAGTACGATTTTGTAGGAGGTTATCAAATATACTCAGGTGCTGGTGGTAGGGGCAGAGAAGGTGGGGATGGACTCAATGGACATTAGCAATATTCAGGGATAAGGCAGAGGAGACTAAGAGAAACTTGGGGATTTTGAGCTGGGGTGACTGGAAGTTGGCTGGTGCCATCAACAGAAAGTGGGAAGTCAAGAGAAGTAGCTCCTAAGGACAAAGACGACGTCAGTTTAGTAGAAACTCAATTCGAGGAGCTGAGGCGACATCTTGTCGGAGATACCGCGCAAGGGGCTGGAAACAAGACACCAGGGATAGAGAGCTACAGCGACAGAGGGGCTTCAGCCACAGCACAAACCACCAGGGAGACTGCCAAGGCGCAGTGGAGAAGGGGACAATGGGAGGAGAGAGACTCCTGGAGAGGAGGTGGAAGGGGGACCACCTGGAGAGCTCAGCGTGGTGGGAGCCAAGAGGGGAAAGTCTTTGGGAGCTAAGAGTCCATCTTATCTGGCGGCGGGGTGGAGATCAGAAATCAGTTATTCCTTTGGGGAGAATGAGAAGTCCTAGGTGGGTGATAGTTGGGCAGAAGGTAGAGAAAAGTGGGAAAGTATGGGGCTAAACAAATGAATGAGTGGTGACAAAACGGAGATAGCTGTTTACTCTAAAAGGTCAAGAGTTGGGTAAAAGCTGCATGGAAAGGGAACGTGAAGGGGTAGGAGCTGGACAAGGGGCTCAGAAGCCCAGGGCTTGCTGAGCATGCTGACAGCTGGAGGGAGAGGTCCCAGGGCTGGAGGAGAAAGCACACAAGGCGGGATAATGAAGGCAGAGCAGGGCTGGCCCCTGCGCCCTGTGCAGGAGGGGAAGGGAGATCTTTTTTACTCTGAGACCAGGGAAGCACGAGGAACAAAGTGGGGAGACCAGGGTGCAAAGGAAGAAGCTGACCAAGTGCACACTGTTTGGCTTCATTCTCTAGGACGAGCATAGCAGTGCATGACCCTGAGATCCTCTCCTCTCAAGTGATTAGGAAATTACCATGGGGAAACCAGGCCAGGATTACAGTTTCCAGTCCTACTTCCGGATCCAGGCCCCCACACGACCCAGAGCTCCTGCCATACAACCAGGAAAGCATTATTTGTCATTCCAAGTATCAAAGCAGTAAATTTCATCTAGGATGAAATAGAGCTGTTGCCTTCATAGACGTGATTCTGTATACCATATCCAAATACTTGATTCCGGAATTAGCCTTTATTCACTCTCCGTATTATCAAAAACTACACATATACATATAAAAACACCTGTGATTCTTCCTACCTCAATGTCTTGCTCAGTAGTCTCTATGGATCCAGATATGGATCTAAATCCGTTCTTAACCTTCCAGGCTCCTTCTTGAGACCTTCCCCAGTCCTCAGAGATCTCAAATCTTTGGGGGTTCACCTTGCTCTGCAGCTCAGGAGGCCAGGAGATGTGTCTTACACCGTCTGGAGCCACTTTGCCTTTTCCCGGAGGCACCCTGTCTACTGTTGGGCTTAGAGCGCCCATTCAAAACACGGACAACCAAACACAAGCCAATCTCATTGAAGAAAATGGTGGAACATCTTCCTAGAAGAGCAGCTCTGGTTGGTACGCTAAAAGAGAAAGAGGAACCCACACCCCTCCCTCACAGGCCACCCAGAGGATACCCTGGGCTTCTCCCACAGCCTTCCAGCTCCACTCTCCGCCCGCCCCCCCCCCCCCCGCCCCCAGCTTCCAGTCTCAGCATACCTTCTCAAATGCAAACCTGACCGTGCACTTCAGTGCAAACAACCTTCCTAAGCGCCCCCCCTGGCAACACTGAAAATTCTTAGCATGGAGTACAAGCCCTTCAAGGTTTGGCCCCTAGAGTCCTCCAAACTTGCACCCTCTGTCTTCAATCATTGGCCTTATCCACGTTAGGCCTTTGCATGTGGATCCTTTCTGTCCTAACACTTTCTCCCCAGCCCCTCCCTGCTTTCACCAAAGCCAACCCCTACCCATCCTTTCTTTCTGGGATTTGCTCTCCCTAGAAGTCCTCCTGAATTCCCTGTAGAGAGGTGATCTCCCTACATGCTTCCACTGTACCCCAGATTTAGCCTCCACTGAAAGGAATCACCAGCTGATTATCCCTGCTGGAATGAATGGATGTTTATGAGGAAAAAGACCGTCCTATTTTATTTGCCTCTGTACCTAGCAAATGCCTGGCAGAGTAGGCTGTTGTTGAATATTTATTGAATAAATAGCTGATTGAATGAATAAATGAATGCTTTTTCTTTTAGAGTCCAATATATGGCCGAGTCTCACCAAATATTCGAGCCTCTAGGCAAAACAACCAGGCTGAGTGAAAAGAGGGTTACCCTCGCTTCTTACCCCAACTTGGTAGCTTAAAGAGAAGCCAAGATGCGGGACACATTCCCCCAAATCTAGATTGTGAGCAGTGACTGGACCATTCAGGCCAAGGAACAATGCCCCCCATCACTACCCAGGGACAATCCCGGCAAATATGCCCAGAGACTGTACAAGGGGCCACCTGGCACAGGGACGGGGCAGGGATGGGGCATGCATGGGGCACGAGCACACTCCCTCAGCTTCAGGGTTCCAGCCCAGGAAGGAGCCTAAAGGAAGGAGATTTTTTTTACAGGGTCAGTTTGATAACCCTGTTCTCTCTTCTCTGGCCAGGAAGCCACAGAAGGCAGTACAAGAGATGCCAAAGTAGGGATCACAGAAGCAGGAGCAGAGAGGAGGGAAAACTTGGCCCTCCGAGTTCATTCTTCATACAGCATTTACTGACTGCTTACTCTATGCCAGGCACAGTGCTAGGCCGTGCGGATACAGTGTGAATAAACAACAGTTGTGTTCTCTCCCTTCCTGCAGCTTACTGTCTAAAGGTGTGACTAGCATTACTCAATCACATAAGTAAATTGAATGTGCATCTTTAAGTTACTTCAAAATAATAGGCTCAGGTTATGAGTGTATAGAGGTTCTGGCCCAGTCAGAGATGGTATGGAAGGCGTCCTTGAGGAAGTGACCAGTGACCTAAGAGCTGGAGGGAGAATAGGAGTACATTAGACAAGAATGGAGTTGGAGTTTAGGGGTGTCGGAAGAACAATAAAGCATTCCAAGTACAGAAAACTGCATGAATAGCCTTTCCATCTCCATTAAGTTCAAGAACGACTTCAAGTTCAGTTCTGTAGGCTCCATCTGCTTCTTCTCAACCCAATATCCATATTTTATTTAAAGAAAGGGGCTAGGGAGTGGACGCGTGTGTGGGGACTGCCGATAGGAATTGTAGGTGGCAATGAGAAGCTAGGGTGATCAGCCCACACCAAGCACCCTAAGCTCTGGGAGCAACCATCCCCATGTGAGGAACTTCAAGGCATGAAAAGGCACGTTCCTCTCCAACTTGCGAGCCCGCTAAAAAGAAGGGCCAGCTGGAGGCCAGCGCCCCTATAGAGTGCACGGATCCCCTATTTCAGGAAGAGCATGGCGCAGCAGCTATATTTGAAAATCGAGGTAAACAAGAGCTCAGCTCAAGTGGATGGGGCACAACAGCTGTGGAAGATTAATCACAGCCGGCTGCAAGTCACCGGGTCGCCAGAGGCCCAGAGGCTTCCCTTTCGGTGCCCCACCGGTAGGCCGGCTCCGTGCCCATCACGTACCCACAACTCCCTCGATTCGGGGTGTTTCTCGACCACCCCGGAGCTCAGAGCTTCGCTGCCTGCTGCAGCCTGCCTTTCTGAGAACCCGCCCCGATTTCAACCCTCTGCCCAGGAGACTGAACCAGCAAACGGTCAGGGTTTTTAGTCGCCAGAAAAGATGAGTGAGTGAGAGACGGAGGGAGGGAGGGAGGGGGGGGGAGAGGGAGAGAGAGAGAGAGAGAAAGAGAGAGAGGCGGGCAGCCGGCGGGTAAATTTATGGCACTGCATTAAAGGCGTTTGTTCTATTTAACCACCCCCCCGCACTCCCTCCACCGTTAAAAATAAAACTCAATGAATAAAGACGAAAACTGCTTCCCTGCCCCCCCCCCCCGAGCAAATCGCTTTCTTCATCTCTCCCAGTGGCTCGGGTCCTCGGGGCAGGTCAGGCAGAGTCTGCAGAGCAGAACTAGCCTCCAAATGAGGGCCTCTGGGTGCGTGTGTGCGCGCGTGTGTGTGCGCGCGCGTGTGTGTGTTGGGGAGGGTGGCGGGGGTGGGTAGTTACACACCTCCCTTCTCTCCACCTGGCCGCGGCCCGCCCAGACCCCCGCTGTCGGGAGGGCCCAGTACGGGAGAAACCCTGCCTCTCCCCGCCCCCTTGGCCGCGGCGGGCCGGTGTGCCGGGGCTGCAGTTCCCGACCCCCGGCGGCGGAGTCCCGAGGTTGGGCGCGCGCGCGCGCGTGCGTGCACGCGGGCGCGCGCCGCGGAGAAACGCGCTAAGCTCCTAGCCCCCGACCCCGGCGGGCACTCACAGCCCCGGGAGCACCGCACGCCCCGGCCCCACCAGCACACAGGCACACATGCACACATGCAGCCGGTCCGCGCCGCAGCGTTCAGTCTCCCCGGTGCGCACCCGCCGCCCCAGCGCAGACACACGCCCCGGCGTCTCGTTCTGCCCCCCCCCGATCCCCCCAGACACTCTGCCACCATGCCCCCCCCAGCTCCGCAGACAAAACGTTCACTTTCCGAGGCACCCTCCCCCCACCTCTTGAGGCACTAAACCCACAGGAAGGCAGCTTGTATGAATGATCTTGAGAAATAACTTAACACCAGCATTCACAAGCTGGAACCCTCCCGGGGGCATCCCAAGCCCCCAGCCTCGGCCGCCCGCGGAGGGGGAAGGGCAGGAGGTTCACCCCATTACTCACCGTTTCCTCCCGGTCTCCCGAGCGGAGTGGCCAAGTGAGGGGGGAGAGGAAGGTGCGCGACGCCCCGCCGCCCGGCTGCTCAGCGGCCGCAGCGGCTCATCGCCCCCGCGGGCTGCCCGCCGGCCGCAGCCGCGTCCGGGGCATGTCAGTCGGCCGCCGCCGCCGCCGCCCGCGGGGCTCGTGGGCTCGCAGCCTTCAGGGGGACGCGCGGGCTGCGGCCAGGGCAGGGGGCCTAGGGAGGAGCGGGGAGACCCTCCCGAGGGCCCCCGGAGGAGCCCGGGCCGGGGCGCGGGCTCGGGACTGATCCCGGGGAGGCCCGGAGTCCCGGCCGCCGGCAGCGGGGGGATCCCTGCCGGGAGGGGCAGAAAGACGGGCCGCCCGGCGCGCCCTGGCGGCTCGGAGGGACCCCGGCTCGCGGCCGCGTCGCCGGGGCTTTCCCGGGGCTGGGCGCGCGCCGGCTCTCCGCCTGGCACGCCGTCACCGCGGGGGACGTGTCGGCCTCGCCGCGCGGAGGGGACGCGCGGAGGGGCTGGTTTCTGGGCGAGCCGCGAGCTTTGCCCATTAAGCTGCAGCAAGAAGCCAAATCAAAAAGCCAATCTCCAAGCCTCCCAACCGAACGTCACCCTATCAGCTGGGAGCCAGGGAGCCGCACCGAATGACAAGCCGCGCATATTTATCCTCGCGCGCCGAGGGGGGATTTTCAGATAGCGTCCCGAGCAGCCTCGGGGAAGTGGACCTGCGCTTCGCGGTCCCCGGGCCCCGGGGGCCCACTGCGGGCGGGAGCCCTCGCCCGCGGCCACCCACCCAATCGCGGGAGCCTGCCGCCCTGCTCCTCCCGGCCGGCGGCGGTCCCGAGACGGCGGCGCGTCCTGACCTGGATTCCGCGGAGTCCGGGGCTCCGGGCGGCCAGGCGGGCGCGCAGCACCGGCTTTCCTCTTGTCCTCGGGAGACGCCGCCTGCAATTCCGAAATTAAGTCTCCACCAACACATCTGTGGTTTTTAAATATAGCAGGGGACGATTACCCAGGCAGGGTCCACCCAGGCCTAAGGGAGGAGTTGAGGGGGATGGAGGTTGGCAGGGAGGGAAAATAAAACTCCCTTTTTCCCCTCTTTTTTTCTTCTGTTCTTGGTGCAGGACTCAGTCTGTCATTTTCTCAACCCAAATCAAACAACAGCTTGAGAGAGACGCTTGGGTGAGCGCTGGTATGTTGGCTTTTGGGTTTTTAAGGCTAAAAATAAGAGGGGGCTGCCTCCCAAATTGCTGCTTACTCTGGGCCTGGAGCCTGGAGGAGAGATGGTCTTTTGATGCAGCAGCAGAACTAGGGTTTGGGGCTTGGCTCAGACAAAGTGTACACACGTAGCCTGAAATCAGATGCCTGTAATTTCTTCTATATTTGTCAGGCGTGGTCCTGGAGGCATGGGGGGGGGCAGGCCTCCCCTAAGAATGAGGTTTCATCTAGTTTATCGATGGCATTAGGCAGATCTAAAATGAGCATGGTGGCTGGCTGGTCCTTTGTAGAGGCACCGCTATGGATTCTGGGGCAGAATCACAAGGGTGGGAAGTTGTTCCTCTCAGGCCTCTCTGTTGTCTGAAGCAGGTCTGAGGGGCCAACAAGGAAGAATAATGCTTAGCAAGGATCAGCACCTTCTTAGGGCGGGCAGACTTGCTAATGAATTTGATTGTATTATTTCATGTCATCCTCATAAAACTCTGTGAGCTAAGTACAATTACTAACTCCACATTCCTGTTGAGGAAACTGAGCCTGGGAAAAGATAAAGAACCATCCCAAGGCCACAAGCAGCAGAACCAAGGACTGGAAGAAGGTGGAACCAACTGGAATTTCTCTGATAATCACAATCGTATGTGCAACTTCCAGGATCCCTGAGGGACTGTTCTGGAACCAGGTTTGGTGCGAAGAGACAGGTGGGTGTAGGAATTAGAAAGCGTCTGAGCCTGGGATGATGTGAGTTCTTTCCTGATCACTTGACTCAGTGCTCCTTCAGCAAATCATGTGGTGGTTTCCATCCTGAGTTTGAGTCCTTGAATGTGCTCCTAACTGAGACTCGTGATCTCAGACCCCTGAACCTTCATGGCCCTTGAGTTCAGTTAAGGTTAGGGCCGAAACACGGAATCTGTAAGATTTCAATAACTTCTAAAGTTTGGGATTTCAGGATATATCATTGGTGGGACTTTCCTTGTATCTGTTTCCATGGAGACTCACAAGGCTGATTGGTCTATAGTCAAGACCAAGAGATGGCTGGTGGGTGTATAAATTGGTATCACTTTTAGGAAGGGCACTTTTGAAAGATATATCAAATTCCTTGAAAAATATGAACCTCTTTTGACTCAGTAATTTTACGGGTAGAAATTTATTCTATGGCAATAATTAAGAATGTGCTCAAATACTTAGTTACAAAGATATTCCTGGTAGTGTTTATAATAGCAAAAAATTAGAAACATCTTAATTTTCAAACAGAATTGGTTGAGTAGATTGTGTTACATGACATAATAGTGTATTCTACCGCTGTAAAAATGCTGGTGCATTATGCACAAACAATGAATCATGGAACACTACATCAAAAACTAATGATGTAATGTATGGTGATTAACATAACAATAAAAAATTATAAAAAATATGCTGGTGCAGCATTCCATGTATTGACATGGAAAGGTTGCATGATATATTATTGAGAGAGAAGAAAAAACAAAACATAGAATGTGACACTCTGTGTGTGTGTGTGTGTGTGTGTCCTAGTAGCATAAAAACACCAAAATGCTAATGGTAGTTATCTTTGGATGGTGGGATTCCTAGTGATTTATTTTTCTGTTGAAATCAACTTTACTGAGGCATAATTTACATACAATAAAATTCATCTCTTTTTTTTGTTAAAAATTTTATTTATTTGTTTGACAGAGAGAGAGAGAGATAGTCAGAGTAGGAACACAAACAGGGGGAATGGGAGAGGGAGAAGCAGGCTTCCCGCCGAGCAGGGAGACCGAAGCGGGGCTCGATCCCAGGACCCTGGGATCATGACCTGAGCAGAAGGCAGACGCTTAACGACTGAGCCACCCAGGCGCCCCTAAAATTCACCTGTTTTAAGTGTACAGGTTGATGGGTTTTGACAGTAGTACACACAAGCATAACAACCACAATCAAGATACAGAACATGTACATCTGCCCTCAAAGTTTCCTAGCCCCTTTTCAGTTATCCCTCCTCCCCTCAAGCAACCATTGATCTGCTTTCTGTCACTGTAGATTAGGTTTGTTTTTTCTAGAATTTTCTTCTTTGTGTCTATTTATAGCTCTTGCTATTTCTTCAAGGACCATTACCCATTCACTAAAACAACAACAGTGACAGTACACACAGAATTGGTCTTGTCCTTTTTCTAAGAACTACCCAAAACTGACAGGTGCTTCATCTTCTTCTCACCTGTAGCAGGGTGTGGCCAGGCAGGAAGGTGGGAGGGGAGGGGAGCAGCTCAGCACATTCAGCCACTGCTAGAGGCAGAGTGACTGGCGGGGGTTATCTGACTTCTGGGCAGGCTGTAAGAACCAGACCCAGTTCTGCATTCTGAGCCTCTGTGTCCTCACCAGTAGCATGGAAGAAAAAATAGTAACAACAGTAAAATCCACTCCTGGGGTTGGTGTGAGGGTTCCCTGAGATTACAGTTTCTGATACAGAGTAATTCTCAAATGTATGTTAATTCGCTCTTTCTCCCCCTTACCCTGCTTGCCTCCCACTGGAAGCTCTGCAACCGTCTCCTCTGAACACTGGACAGAGTCCCACTTTTTTCCCTTCTCTACTACATGCATACAGGGTTTAAAAACGACAACAACAACAACAACAGTAATTCTGATGACAGTGTGCCTTCAGTTTCTGCCATTGTTTATTCCCCAATTTCTGGTTGTGGTCAGACTCAAGGAGATCACAGGAGAGCCAGCAAGCAGGCTACTTGTTGTCAGCAGCAGGAGCAAGACCCGCAGACTTCGTTTTCAAGTTAGGAGGACATCGAGGCCAGAGAAGTGGGGGGATCCAAGCCAATCACAGAGCTCGCGCAGCAAGGACCGGTTGGAGTCTGTTACGGGCTGCATTGGGACCCCCTACCCCCAAATGCGTAGGTTGAAATGGTAACCTCCTGTACTTCAGAATGTGAGGGCCAAGAGATAATTGAGTTAGATGAGGTCATTAGGGTGGGCCCTAATCAAATGACTGGTGTTCTTATAAGAAAATGACGAGGACACAGGTAGGCAGCGGGAAGACCAAGTGAAGACACACCAAGGAGGCAGCCATCTGCAGGCCGAGGAAAGAGGCTTCAGAAGAAATCAAACCTTCTGACACTTTGATCTTGGACTTCTAGCCTCCAGTTTGTGAGGAAATAAATTTCCGTTGCTTGAGCCACCCTGTCTGTGGTATTTTGTTATGGCAGCCAGAGCAGACTCATACAGAATCCAAGCATTCTGGCTGATTCTGTGAGGGTTTGCTCTCTTCCAACTTCAAGGAGTTCCTTCAGGTTATTTGGAACCTTGAAACAACCTGGATTTTGGAATTTAACAAAAAGGAAGGAAACCAGGTTTTACTGAAAGCCTGCTGTGACACGGTGCTGTGCCCTTTTATGTGTGTTACTTCACTCTTTAAGTGTTTGTGGAACACCTTCTATGTGCCAGGCACAATTCTAAGTGCTGGGGACACAGCTACAGACAATGAGGGTAAAATCCCTGCCTTCATAGAACCTACATTCTAGAGGAAGAGACAGATGATAAACATGAATGAACAAAATACATGGGGCTGTGGAGAAATAATAAAGCAGAGGAGAAGGGTAAGGGGTTGCCAAGGGAGGGAGGGGAAATCCTTAGGCTTTTTAATTGAAGAGAGTTGGGGAGTTTGTCCTGGAAGCTTCAATGACAAAGAGGCAGTTGAGTGAGCACTCAAAGGAGGAGGGGGAGGGAGCCATGCTGATGCTTGAGGGAAGAAGGTTCCAGAACAGCAAACTCCGAGACTCCTAAGCAGAAGTATGCCAGACCTGTTCAGGAAAAATTATGTTATTTAGACCTCACGTCCACGTTGGGAGGTGCATAGATAGCATCCCTTCATCTGAAGAAGAAGAAACCTCAAGTGGGAAAAGTCACTCCCATGAGGTCACCCAGACAAGAGCAGGTGATGCCCTTCTTTCTCCAGAGGCTGGTAGCACAATAGGGCAGATGCGGTGAATATGGAGAGCCCTCCACGTGGTTTCTTCATGGTTTCTTCTTCGTTAGGCCCCATTATTTACCATTACGCCCCAGAGCTGCACAAGTTGGTGCCTCTCCAGACGTGGGGCCTCAGGCACTTCACCAGGAGCAGCCCTGCCTGCCCCTGCTGCCTTTAGCTCAGCTTGTCACAGGCATCGCTGTACCCAGGTGCCCGCCTTCCAGGGCCCTGGGACTATAAAATCTGAGAGCAGTTGAGGAGAGGCAGAAGCAGACCATCAAGCTGAAGCTTAAAGTAAGCTCTGGAGCAGCTCTGGAGGAGAG